GTTCAAACTGTGGTCTGCAATATCCGATCTCGCCACAAAAATCATCATGATACAAGAGAGGCAGCTCTGGCATGCAGAGGGGATCTCACTTTCCATCTTATCCACCCTTTGGCAATAACATTTCCAACAAAGGCAGACAGAAAAGCTTTTTATGAGAAGCAACACAGCAATGTAATGCATTTTTCTTTATTAGTTTTTTTTTGGGGGGGGGGTACAAGGGAGGATGAAGATAGGAAAATGAACAAGAAGCTGTTGGTAGGGGTAGCAACTATCAGGATGGAAAATCAAGAACGAAGCCTTGATCCATACACAAGGAAGAATTAATTGTGCTGCTGCTTCTATAAACATGTTAGAAGTGGGGGTTAATGAAAACTGCACATGTCAAGCAGGCCACAAGTGCTCAGAGGGTTCACTGGTTCAAATCTCCAGATCACAGATATAGCAAAACAAAGTTTTTTGGCCACCTCCCTACAGAGAGCTTCAATACAGCATTTTAAATGAAAGTATGGGATTTAAAAAGGCAGCAGCAGCAGCGCTTTCTTTGGTCTTTTCGCTGTAGAACAGAGGTTAAGAACTAGCAGATACAAGATAACACTGAGGAAATGAAGAGATGGAGTGCTGCTTTACTGTGCCATTGTTATGGTATCTGCAATGATGGTATAAAACAATAAAATCCAACCATTTCCAGTTTTAGCGAAGGGGTTACTAGAGATGCCCAGCTAGCACAGAACCAGCCGCGTCAGGAAGGGCCACTGGAGTGACACAAGCTATTCCAAAAAGCTCACCAAGTCGACCTAAGATAAAATTCAACACACAGCAAAAAACAGCCTGAAAAGAAACTGAGGGAAGATAGGAGAAAAGTGGAAAGAGCAGCAGTGGCACGGATTAACTAACATAATAATCTGCTTTAATTGATTTTTAGGTTTTATTTATGTTAAGGAGAAAGCAAAGGTGAAACACTTCCCTAGCTAGCTCTTATCCTGAAGCCAAGGATCTCCTTTATCCACCTCAGCAGACCCTGCAGAAACCATGGGAAAGAGGGAAAACTTGCAGTTAACTACAGACTTTGACCATCTGGGAGAGAACAAACGCTCCAGGTTAAGGGCCTGGAGTTGATCACGTTGATGCTACTGTACCTAAAAATATGTTCACCCCGAGGAACTCACGGAGCCTGCAGAGCTGAACTTAAAACAACCCCTAAACACACGTAAATACACATTCTTCAACGTACATGCTTCACGTCTTGGTGATCCACTATTGCCTGTGCTCTGTTCACCAGAAAAGCTTTGCTCACAAATCAGACAAAGGAACAAGGACAGGGTATACTCAGACTATTAAGAAATGGTATCAAAAGAATGATGAAGCCAAAATTGCACTGAAAAGCTTCCTTAATTTAAAGTCTGCTTTCTTAAAAGAGGAGCTTTCATACCGTGGCAGATTGAAAATGCTTTCAGTTATTCCATTTTTCACATTCCTCTTGCAGTAATTCAGGTGCGCAACAGAGAAAAGCTTTCAGCACTGCAGCCAGCCTGCTGTCCTGCTCGGCAACGTAAGGGAACAAGACAAAGCTGCAGCTCCCTTAACTGATTTTACCATCGTGTTTTCACTACCACAAAGTGAGTCAACAGAAAACAGCAAAACCAAAACTCCTGCTTCAAAAGCACCGTGTTTTAGAACGGTTCATGTCTGTGTAACTGAACAGTAAAACACAAATATCCAACAGCTACACGCAGGAGGCAGTAAGAAATATATCCCTTAGGAGAGAGTTAATCCAGCTGGACTCTTCCAAGTTCATTTTCAAATTCATATACACTACAGACGGGCCCTGACTTCTCACTCTGCTAGATTTTAACCCCAAGCCCTCTCTCTGAAAAACTCATTTCTGATAATGCAGCAGAATTCTACAGCCTCTCCATCAAATAACGTATCACTGCTCCCACTTGGAAACCCAAGTTGCCATTCTGAGTAATTATTTGGTAGTATATACAGTAGATAGCCACTTCACGACACATGCATTAAGAGTGACGGACTACTTAGGATGTGGACTGTCTCTCGCTAAGCATCTGCACAGGAATAATGCAATTGCACCCTGAACTTCTGCTGCATCAAGGGCATTTAAAGTCAGATCAAAACTGAATTTGTCTTTTGCAAATTCATAGGGATCCCATAAAAATAAGGGGAGGGAATTTTGCAAAGCTTTTTTAACAAAATAAATGACAATACTTCTCTTCAATTCTGAATGAGATTATTTCTGACCTCACTGAAATGAGTTATTTCAACGAGAAATAACTCATTTAAATGGGTTTATGCAACGCTGAAGCTGAACATTACAGCAGAAATACAGGCATCAGAATCAGAGAACAAAAATGATTACAGGCAACTGAAAACATGTTCCAAAGCTCAAAGAAAAGGTATTAATGGTCAAAAGAAGATCATTACAATACAGCATTAAGCTTTAATTTTAAAAGAATTTAAACAAAAAATAATGCCTTTCTTTTGAGGGCATCTCTTAAAAATAGAACTAGAACTGCATTTTGTGTGACACTTTTAAAGGAAACTTTCAAAATACAGAGAATACTGTGCAGGCTGCAGTGCTGAATAGCACAGAAACACTCTGGACTCCTGTTTAACTGAAGAATCACTAACACAAACATTCATGGAATAATTGCAGTTTCTTAGAGCAGAAGCATCATTTGAGTTTGATGCATTACTATCACAGACCTTCCCTCTTCCCTTTGGTAACAAAGGCCAGAGGAATTTAAAACAACTTTGGAAATAATAAACCCACCCCGCTCTGAAACCTGCCTGACATCAAGTTTCTGCCTCGCAGGAGATTTTACACCACCTTGAAAACAGAGCTAAAACAGCTTCTTATAATGGAAATTCTGACAGGCCAAGAGCTACAGTAAGAGCTGACACTGTAATAGTCTTTCCTTCCCTTCAGGTCATACTGAAATCTTCAGTTGTCATTCTTCTCTGTAAAGATAGTTGCTTAATTACAGAAACTGGAGGTTTTGCAACCTACCTCCTAGTTTCACACTTTAATTCTTCCTGTTCTCACTAACTCCCATCACTAATTTGTCTTTCCAGCTTCAGCTGGTGGCTTCTTGGAAGCTTCAGAAAGTTGAACAGCAAGAAATGTGATTCAGCTGCTTTAACTTCATCACAGAAGCTTCATTTTTCAAATGTACTGTCCCTAGAGAATGAACTCTGATTTTGATCACAATCAAATCTAATGAACGATGGCAACAATCCCACTACTTCAATTTATCAGTGCACCAACACTAACTCACTACAAACTACCTGAAATTCAAGTACTGCTTAAGAGATTTTTTTGCCTGTGTAAGAAAACAGGCAAGAACAAGTCTCCATCAAAGAGGAAGAGCAGAATCTTGGTCTGATGCAGACAAAAGTCAGGTTTGAACACATTTAGATTCCTAGAAAGTTATCACTTCTGAAGCACTTAAAAATAAATCAAGCTGCTCTACTGCTTTTACTGTGGGTTATGTTCATGCATGGCTTTGGAGAGAAAATGAGACTGAACTCCAATTTTTAGCTACCTTTATAAAGATCAGTCCTCATCAGACAAAACTATCTGTGGCTAAGTCGAATGACAATGGTAGAAGGGACTCTGTCCACAGAATCCAAAATACTGGAAATCAACTGGAATACCAAATTTGGATCCCATCCAATCTGAGGCTCTAGCTGCCTGGCTGGAAGACAGTAGAAAGCCAACACTGTGCAAACTACAAGACTTGAGATAGATAATGTATCATTTAAAAGCAGCTCCAATTAGTTTCTGTATACCAATGGAAATCTGTAATAAACATCTAAATAATTCCTGAAGTCAGAACCACTGAGCTAGCCTGAACGGGACTTAGGAAATGCCATTTCATTAGCAACCAAGGACTAAAACCCTGGTTGCATGCTTACCTTCATAAGGTGTGCAATGTTTTCACTAGATGTGTGTGCCTGCAGGTTGCTACTTGCAGACAGAAAAACATTTCTTGCAACACCTTTAAAAGGCAACATTCTTTTACATTCAGTTTCTCAGCGCGTTAATTGCAAGAAGAACCAACTAACATCAATTTTCACAAGAATACCACAGAATCCATCATTTCTCTAAGTAAAAGCAACATTCAGGATAGTCAAATATGCTCTGAAGCATTAGCAAATAACCATTAGGAATGCAATGAACTAAACAACCAAAAGGCTTGCTAATGAGTGCACGAGGTACATCTGCAGGTGAAATGAGAGGGAAGAAAGTGGGAGAACAACAAGTCTCATCCTTCAGTAAGCATACGACATTGGAAAATAAGACTTGGGTGTGGGGATTAAATGCTAAATAACAGTAAGAATTTACTGAAAACACAGGGTACGTGAGAATGCAGCCCGTCATGCTCTGGCTTTCACACACACAGTTATCCTCCACTACAGCAGCTTTCAATTTCCAAGGTTAGCAGAATGTATTAAACTGGTGATTCTGTGCAAGTGGTTTTTTTTGTAATTGAGTATTACGTAAGGCAGAAAAATGCTGCTTGTCCTAAAGTGGGAGTTCAAACCAAAGGTCCTCCTAAACACACCGCGGATGAGCATTAAAAACAGGGAGTCTGGGTTATGAAAAGAAGCCATATGACTAAAAAGTGAATCCATTTTCCAAGACGCCCACACAGACAAGAGCTTCTGATGTGAAAAATGGTCTCTGCAAAAGCTCAATTGCACAGATTATTTTCAGGAGGAGATAGAATCTGCACCACATGCAGATTATACGACATTTACTGCGATGAGGTTGAAAAACCCCACATTATTCTGCGTTATTACAGTATGAACAATGACTTGATCAATGTATACGAGATAAACACCAAGCATTGCTTAACTCAGTAACCATCTTCCTTTCACATTTACACAGCAGAGATGCTTGATTTTTCCAGGCTAGTTTTCCCTACCTTTAAAACAAGGTACAACAATGTGTGTTAGACAGCAAAGAGTTTGTGGCTTACCTTGGCACTGAAATCCTTGCTTCCCAAATCCCCTGTATAAAACAAGGAAAACAGAAAAGTCTTAGTATGTTTAGTCACAATTTCTTCTCAATGATCTGTAACAACATGAAAATTGCTTCATAGTCAATTACTTCACATTTTGCTAAGACAGCAACAGATCTGAAAACCTCAAACACGGAGCAGCCCACCCATTTCAGAGCACAGAACAATAGCTGTCACCAGCTCTGCAATTTCAGCTGCTGGCAACTCTGTTTTTATTATTATTATTTTACAAGCTATTTTGGATCGACAATTATAATCATCTGCGACTGCTGCATAATATTTCAACTCATTTCATGCCACACGTATACTTAACAGCAATGTAAAACACTCCAAGTTCTAGGAAAGGCATCTACAACAAAGCAGACTTAGTTTTGCAGCCAGATTTGGCGACCGCATGCCAACGGTGTTACGTGGCTCAGCAAGATACCAGTTGCTTGTTGTATGGCAAGGTTTTGCTTGTTTCACTATGAATGAGGAGGGGACAGGCCCAGCAGTTTCACACTGATTATTCTTCCAGCTTCCTTGCTTCATTTCCATAACAAAACACAAACGTGCATGTGATATTATACCAACGAAGCCAGTGACACACAAGCCTTGTATGTGGTATCCAGAGTTCCAACACGTATTATACCTCTGGCAAGTTGCACTGTTGTTGGGTGTATTTATTTATCTTTAACCATTCAGCATTCTCTTTCCACAAGAATAAATATTTTGAGTAGCCTCCCTAGTCAACATTTCTCTGCATTCTCCCTTCTTTGCTGGACGTTTTTCATCTGGAGAGCTGGAACCGCTTAAACTCAAAGGCAAATGAACAAGAGGCATGGACTGGAAGAGCCAGCCAGTAGGCTCTATGCAATTAACAGCGTGAAGATTAATTATTGACTGTGGAAATTGGTTTTAAAAAAATTATCTCAATGATTTTCCCACTTTTTGTTTATTTACTTCAGGCCAAAGCTGAAATTACACAGGTTTGAGCACCTCCATCAATTTCTACACAAAAGTCTCTACGTGCTAGAAGTAGGCCTACTCACTGAATGATCTGGGTTGGAAAGGACCTTAAAGATCACCCAGTTCCAACCCCTGCCATGGGCAGGGACACCTTCCACTAGAGGAGGTTGCTCCAAGCCCCTGTGTCCAACCCGGCCTTGAACACTGCCAGGGATGGGGCAGCCACAGCTTCTCTGGGCACCCTGTGCCAGCGCCTCAGCACCCTCACAGGGAAGAACTTCTGCCTTTTATCTAATGTAAATCTACTCTCAGCTTAAATCCATTCCCCCTTGCTCTATCCCTACATGTCCTTGTAAAAAACCCTACCCAGAAAAGTCCTAATCTAAACGGAAGAAATGTAGCTTAGTTTTGTTACTTGGCAGCACCCACGACTGTACCATACTGGTGCTCTGCTGCTGTTATCTCTTGTCTTCACAAAAGCAAGCAGCACACACTGGAAGTGTGCAAACGTACCTGCAGGGAAGCTGACAGCAGGACCAAGAACACGAAACAGACTTGAGATAAATGTTCATCCTTCTAAACAGACTTATTTGTAAAGAACATTCCTGTATTATCTGCTCTGCAAGCTGAGCCAACCTTCAGGGTTTGAGCTGAATTCATATGCGAACCAGCTGCAGTCCACCCCCTGATCACTTACAGTGTATTTTAAGGAAAAAGTCTTTAAAATACCAACATTTCAGGAACAAAGAGAAAAGGTGTTTAAGGAGATAAGGAGGAACTGAACTATTCTGGCAAATCTCACCCAGTCTAATGTAATCTAAGAAAGAGACTCTATTTGCACAGTTCACTGAAGGGCTGTATTTACTATTCCTTATACCTTAAAGCATATGTTAATTGCCACATGTCATGCTGAAAATAGATGAAGCACTTTTTATGGTGTATGATGCTTATTCAGGAGTTGCGCATCTCCAAATGCAGAAATGAAACTGAAGTTTGAGTTGTCAGATGATGATCTGATGAATGCCAAGAGCTTCCTTAGGCTCACCAGCAAGAGAGGACAGAAGAGCAGAGCCACTCTGCCCACCACCAGTGACAGGACACCCTCTCACCTCCAAATGAATCCTGTCACCTCATGATTCCACTTCATTTTTTGATTGTGCTACTTCTGTGCACAAACACAGCCTGACAATAAGCCTGCAGCGGGTTCACACCTCTCAGTTCATCCTGGTTTAGATTAACTTTGATGCAGTTTCTAAAGGTCTCTCACTTTTACAATCCCAAACTTTGGTGGTTTGTTTTTCATTTTAAAATAGGAAAAAAATAACAGAGAGAAACCAAGAAGTTGTCTTGTTTCTTCCTGTTCCCCACCATCTCATTTTCCTCCCTGACTCTGCAGACAGACAGATTTCAATCACTTCTGGAGTAATCACGGTCTTTCCTTCAGCACGCAAACCGAGAGACACTCAATAAGGAAGGCAAAGGTCTGTGCCCAGACACATTAACACGTGTGAGAAGGGCAAGACACCTGCGGCAGGCACAGAGCCAGCCGGGTGCAGACCCCCGAGAGCCTTCACAACTTTGGCCGAAACAAATCACAGCTCGTTTTCAGCTCGGAAACCTGCAGCGAGAGCTTCAGCAGCAGAGCAGGGCTGGGGCTGAGCCGCAGCTCGGGTAAAGGTGAGGAAGCCTGGGCTGTTTATGTCGCACACCCGCTGAACGTACCAACACTCACCTAAACACAAGGGCACACGCCCGCTCCTCCTGCCCCACGGCCGAGGAGAGCGGCTCGGCCTGCTCCGGCGCCGCAGTCCTGCCCAGAGAGGGCACGGCACCAACCGAGAGGTGCGTGTGTTCCCTAACAGCTTAGTAATAAGGGTGTTGGTAGGAAGTTTTCCTCCCTTCCTCCCCTCTCTTCTAAAAGAAAAACCCTCCCTTTACTAAACACGTACTGTAGCAACAGCGTCCCTGGGCATTCCCGATCTCCCTGCCCTCCCCTCTGCTGCAGGAGGAAATAAAGCCGGCACTGATCTCAAAGTTGACGGCAGGGCTGTAGAAGTTGTGCCACACAGCAACACCCACAGCCTGAAACAGAAAACCCTCCGTCCCCACCGCGGCAGCTGTAACGCTGGCGGGGCTCCCCTTCGCTACCGGGAGGCGGGCACCGGGACGGGGCTTCGCGGGGGAAGCCGAACAGAACCCGGGTCCGGCGGGTGGGACACAAGAGGCACAGCAATACCCGCATGGGCTGTTTGGGGAGCGATGTCCCCAGCGCGGGTCCTCACACCCCGCTGATCCCTGCGGCACCGGCGCTGCCCCCGGCGAGATCAGGGGCTCCCCGAACCCGGGGTGGCCCCTCGAAGGATGCGATCGAGCCGGGGGCAGCGAGGCGATATGGGCTGTGCCAAGCCAGGGCTCACCTGCCCGCCCCGGGCGGAGAGCGGCGGCAGCGGGAGGGGAGCGGAGGGACGGGCGGTCACCGGGACCGGGGCACAGCGCCTGCCCCCGGCGGGGGCATCCCTTAGAGCAGCTCGGGCCCGGGCGGAGGATCGGGGAGAGGAAGGCGCCGGCGGGGTCGCTCACCAGATGAAGTCCGTGCAGTGGCTGCAGAACGTGGGCTGCTTGAAGAAGCGCGCGATGAATTTGTGCTCCTTCACCTCGTGCACGTTCTTCTGCCTCAGGGCTCCCTTGCGAGCGAACCGCCGCGCCGCGTCCGGGGCCGCGCCGGGCTCGGAGCCCGGGAACACGTCGGCCATAGCGCCCTCCTCTTCTCCACCGCCGCCGCCGCCCCCCCTCCTCTCCTGCCGGCAGCCGGCAGTCACCGCCCCGCACAGTCCGCCCCGTCCGGCGGCCGCCGAGGCTCTGGCGAACGGCGGCGCTGGGCGCTGCCTCCGGCTCCCGCGCCTGACGTCGGAGCGGCGCGTAGGGAGCGGGAGGAGGATCCCGGCCCCGGGCCCGCGCCGGCTGCTCCGCCCGCGGGGTGAGCGAACCCCCGGCCGCCGGCGGGGCGGAGCGGAACGGAACGGAACGGCCCCGCTCCGGGCCCGCCCCTGGAGCCTGGGCAGAGGAGGCGGGGGGGGGGGGTGGTGTCAGCACCTGCCGCCTCCCGTCAGCGGCCCTCGCCCCGCCGCATGGGCTCCGCGGGGTCGCAGGGCTGCGCGCACCGCCCCGGGTCTCCGCGCACACGGGTTCCTCGCACGCATTCGCGCGGAGCGGCTCCGTTCCGTGCCTCGCCCGCAGGCAGCAGCTGCCTCCCTTCACACACCCCCCCAGCTCCGGCCATGGAAACTGACACCGCGGCCCTCGGCGGCCGCCGGCCCGCTGCCCCTCGCCGCTGCAGCACCGCCTCCTGCCGCCTTCCCTCCGTGCAGCTGCTGCACCGGGCCCCAGGCACCCCGCCTGCCACCGGCTTCCTGCACCCACCGTCGGGCGGGCTGTTGCACCACAACAGGCAGCGGCGCAGCCCAGGCGCGCTCCTCCTCAAACCTTTCCGCTTCCTGCACCTCGCAAACCCAAAAGCACGCGTGCAGACGGTGTCCGGGGCCGCTCCGAACAGCCGCACATCACACACCACCACCAGGCGGTCCAGGGAAGAGTGGCCTCACCCTCGCACCCCACTTACCTTTAATTTACCCTCAATTAAATGTGTAGGAAACACGCAGCAAGACTTTCCCACCAGTTCAGCCATCCAACACAAGCACAAAAGGCCTTTACTGTGTTTTTATGCATCACACCAACAATGTAATAAAGTATTCTATAAGATAATGTATCATGAGATCTATTATTCATCTTTGTCTATTCACGTAACACATGAAATGGTCACAAGTCTCTGGAGACAGAAACATTATCTGCCTGTGGCACACCTACATCCTCATACAGCAATCTCTACAGGATCTCTACAGGTTCAGAAAAACACCACATAAAACATGACTGCATTAACATAAAACCACAATATCTGCCTCAAATAAAGAAAACAAGGGCTAATCGTATATTTTTATCATGTTTTTAACAAGTGTTATTCCCATGCCTACAAGTCTTTACCTCT